AGTGATAACGTAAGCGACGTCTCCAGAAAGACTTGTTTTCGAACTCGGCACCATTATTTGATGTGGATAACATATTTTTATCGCACCATCGTGTTTTGAAGCCAAATCGTATACGTGTAAAAAGTCAAGAAAAATAAGGGTAAGGGCAAAAGTAATAACGTAAGCGACGTCTCCGGAAAGACTTGTTTTCGAACACGGCACCATCATTTGATGTGGATAACATATTTTTATTGAACCATCGTGTTTTGAAGCCAAATCGTATACGTTTAAAAAAGTCAAGAAAAGTAAGGGTAAATAAGGGCAAAAGTGATAACATAAGCGACGTCTCCGGAAAGACTTGTTTTCGAACACGGCACCATTATTTGATTTGGATAACATATTTTTATCGCACCATCGTGTTTTGAAGCCAAATCGTATACTGTAAAAAGTCAAGAAAAATAAGGGTAAATAGGGGCAAAAGTGATAACGTAAGCGACATCTCCGGAAAGACTTGTTTTCGAACACGGCACCATCATTTGATGTGGATAACATATTTTTATCGCACCATCGTGTTTTGAAGCCAAATCGTATACGTTTAAAAAAGTCAAGGAAAATAAGGGTAACTAGGGGCAAAATTGAAAACGTAAGCGACGTCTCCGAAAAGACTTGTTTTCGAACACGACACCATTATTTGATGTGGATAGCATATTTTTATCGCACCATCGTGTTTCGAAGCCAAATCGTATACGTTTAAAAAAGTGAAAGAAAATAAGGGTATATAAAGTGAAAACGTAAGCGACGTCTTCGGGAAGACTTGTTTTCGAACACGACACCATCATTTGATGTGGATAACATATTTTTATCGCACCATCGTGTTTTGAAGCCAAATCGTATACGTTTAAAAAAGTCAAGAAAAATAAAGGTAAATTGGGGCAAAAGTGAAAACGTAAGCGACGTCTCTGGAAAGACTTGTTTTCAAACACGGAACCGTTATTTGATGTGGATAACATATTTTTATCGCACCATCGTGTTTTGAAGCCAAATCGTATACGTGTAAAAAGTCAAGAAAAATAAGAATAAATAAGGACAAAAGTGATAACGTAAGCGACGTCTCCGGAAAGACTTGTTTTCGAACTCGGCACCATCATTTGATGTGGATAACATATTTTTATCGCACCATCGTGTTTTGAAGCCAAATCGTATACGCTTAAAAAAGTCAAGGAAAATAAGGGTAACAAGGGGCAAAATTGAAAACGTAAGCGACGTCTTCGGAAAGACTTGTTTTCGAACACGACACCATCATTAGATGTGGATAACATATTTTTATCCCACCATCGTGTTTTGAAGCCAAATCGTATACGTTAAAAAAAGTCAAGAAAAATAAGGGTAAATAGGGAAAAAAGTGAAAACGTAAAAGACGTCTCCGGAAAGACTTGTTTTCATACACGGAACCGTTATTTGATGTGGATAACATATTTTATCGCACCATCGTGTTTTGAAGCCAAATCGTATTTGTTTAAAAAAGTCAAGAAAAATAAGGGTAAATAAGGGCAAAAGTGATAACGGAAGCGACGTCTCCTGAAAGACTTGTTTTCGAACACGGCACCATCATTTGATGTCGATAACATATTTTTATCGAACCATCGTGTTTTGAAGCCAAATCGTATACGTGTAAAAAGTCAAGAAAAATAAGGGCAAAAGTGATAACGTAAGCGACGTCTCCTGAAAGACTTGTTTTCGAACACGGCACCATCATTTGATGTGGATAACATATTTTTATCGAACCATCGTGTTTTGAAGCCAAATCGTATACGTTTAAAAAAGTCAAGAAAAATAAGGGTAAATAAGGGTGTAATATCCCGTCAGTTTATCAGTATAAATTATTTTTTTTTTAGTTCCGATATTAAATTTCGGAATTAATTATTTTCAGTCATTTCAGTCGAGATTACCGAAAATTATTTTCGACGTACCGTTTACGTTCGGAATAATTTTTGTAATTAAGCATTATATTTAGTTAAATATTAAACATGATTAAGTGATTAGTTAGCAAAAAATTAATCATGTTAATGGTCATTAGCCGTGCCAAATGGGAGAATTTATCCCAAAATTGCCGTACATAATTTTCCTAAGGTTTGGAAAGTTATTTCTTCATTATTAAGACTAATACGTGGCATCATTTTAACTAATAGAGTGCTTAGTCATTTAAGCATTATTTAAGCTAGCTACAAGTGTCCTTAGTCATTTAAGCATTATTTAAGCTAGCTACAAGTGTCCTAAGGAGAGTTAATCTCCAAACCATTATCTATCGGCCACTTAAGTATAAAAGGGTGGAGTTGGGCATTTTTGCTCCATTTTTCTTCCCCTTATATTCACCATCTTCAGCCCCTATTATATATAGCAAAGTGAGAGAGGGAGTTGTGTTCATAAGCTTGGCACCTATCACCCGCACGCTCAGTATTCCCGTACGCGTAGCATCCCATACGCACGCCGCACGCCACACCGAGAGAAGGCCGAGCATACACACGCACCCACGAACACCAAGCCAGCAAAGAGGTAGTTCAGCTCTCGTATTGCTATGGTTTATATCATCAGGCTTCGTTTCTAAGTAAATTAAGTTCATGTTCATATCTCACGCATGTTGCGTGTTCGCCGTGCGTAGAACGCAAGTAGATCATGTCATGTTTTCAGTTGAATTTGTCCGAACAATCTTCGTATGTTTAGCCTTTATATGTAACATCATGTTCAGATAAGCTTAAGTGTTCAGTGAATTACTCATGTTATTCGATGTGTCGGCCAAAGGTGATGTGGTTGCCCACGTAGCGCACCACGGGCCGTACACGAGTGTCAAGTGTGTTAAGTTCATTTTCCTCGAGCACTTTATGTGAATTTATTCAGTACATCAGTGATCATGTTCAATTGAGTATTATTTGCCGAGAGAAAATGAGATTTGGTTGTAAAACGGCTTAACGCCGTCGGCGGCGCACGGTGCGTCTGCCGCGGCCAAGTTCAGTCCTTTGAGCAAACTTTTATGTTTTCAGTTTAAATCTGTTCATGTGTTCATGTTATGCCGTTTGAGGTTGGAATGTTCAGGAGTTGTTGCCGGACGGCCGGCAAGGGCCGGCCGTGGCCGCGCTGTCCGCACGCAGCGGCAGCAGCGCGCC